CCCCATCCATAGTAAAGCATTAAATTCTTAGTATTTGAAGCATAACTGATCTCTAGGACTTGGTAGGCCACTTCCGATATTTTAATCACTGGGGCGTCACCACTGCAATCAAGATGAAATCCTGGATAGCCACAGTACTGAGGACGATTCACTCCCCAGAAAGGATAGGTTATATTCTGAATGTTTCCACACTCAAATGATTTGCTGCAGCCTAGATATCGCTCATCAGGTTCACATAGAGAAATTGGAATCGCAATAATGATGATGGTAATTACTGTGAGAGGTAAAGAGATGGTTTGAAGGAGATGTGGATGCATTTCTGGAGATTACGGGTGAAGGGAAGGGGCTGCAGGTATAGAACTCTTGAATCCTGAGAGAGCAGATGGAGCTAACCAGGTTTTATTTCTTATAAACATGAGATAATCAGATGTCTTGACTCTTGACTCACTAATATGACTTAGTCTGCAACAAGAAGTTTCCTGTTCATTCACTGGAGTTCTAATGCGAATGACACAAGACTCGCATTTTCTTTAGTATACTTTCAGATTTCCTTTTGCATTGAAACATGCCAAATTCAATTATCTATGATTTACTTGTCTATCAAGACAAGAAAATTCAGCAAGAATGCATAGCTTTGTGAAAACACTCTTCCTTGAGTCTAGTTCGAAAAAAAATGTTGTCTAAATATTCCTCAACTTCCTCGTCCATATTGGTTAAATGTTCAAGCAAGAAAAAAGAAGAAAATGTTACATTATAGGAAATAATTTACTCAATTACTATGTAGTAATGTCAATGGCATAAACAGTCTTATATTTAGTTATTTTGATCATGTTCTGAGTTGAAAAGAAGCCATATATATATATATATAAAAAAAAAAACCAGTCCTTTTCCATTGCCATCTTAGCAAATGACAAGGAAACATAGAAAACTTATGTTATTTATGCATATAGTCACAAGAATTATTTTCTCCATATGAATAATAAATTTGTATAGTGAGAAACATCAGGCAAATGATGCTGATTTGAAGCTATTATAACGATAAAAACCTAGTGTTGCGTACTGCTTCTGCTGAATATATTAACTCTGGTGTTCTTCTATTTCTTCGCTGCCACTATTAATCTCTCTGGATGTGCCACCTCAATTATCCTCTATTGTTTCTAGATGCTCTACTTTACAAATGCTATTCTGCGAGCTCCAATACTTGAGGTGCTGGATCATAGTAAGAATTTATTATATTTTCGAGTTCTGTAATATTCTTAGATACTGTAAAGCTTAAGCTCTCTTGTCTTCTTGTCTATGATTTAAAACTAGAAAAGCAAGGAGATTAAAATGGTAGTCCTAGATCACAATTTATGGAGATTGAACTTTAAGAATAGGAACAACAATTGGTACACAAAATCATGGGAAATCAAGCAGACAGTTACAGTTTAAACATGCATCTATTACGAAGATCTTTTATCTACTTATGAAGATGTGCAATGTGTTGAAAATGTTGAGTAAAGTTCCATTTCGGGTAATCTTGTAGGAGAATGAATATAGGAAAGGTGTCACGGGATTAAATTTTTCACAACGAACTTCAATCCAATGTGATAGTCTAGTCCCAACTAGACTTAGCTTTATCTTCTTTTTTTGCTCGTGTTTTCTATGACTATGTGTTTTGCTCATCCAAAAATGTTCTTACAATTGCCTCGTCGTAAACAAAGAACAAACACAAGCAAGCACACCGAACTTTACAAGAATACCTCTCAACTTTTTGGGGTTGTGCTCCCAAAACCAGCTCAAATGAACTTGCTTCCATTGCCGAGGATTTCTGAAGATTATAGCAAAACTGCGCACTATCCAACAACTCTAACCAATTTCGTTGCATTGCTATCACGTGGTGTCTCAAATATTCCTCCAACAAAGCATTTATCCTTTGTATTTGCCTATCAGTCTGCGGATGGTTGGTAGTCGAAAACTTCAGCCTTGTTCCCATCATGTTGAACAACGTTGTCCAGAATTTACCTGTGAATCGCACATCCTGATCGCTTACAATGTCTGAGGGCACTCTAAAATACTTCACCACGTTGCAGTAGAATAATTCAGTGGCCACTTCGACTGTACACACCACAGGGGCAGCCACAAATTTTGCGTACTTGGTGAATCTATCCACGATAACCATGATCATGTTCATGCCATCCACCTTCGAAAAACCAACAATGAAGTACATCGAAACTGACACCTAAGGCTTTTCTAGAATCGACAACAGTTGTAACAAGTCTGCTTCTCACTGTCGTACAGTCTTGTCTTGCTTGCACACCAGACAAGTCCTAACGTAAAGTTCTATGTCGTCCTCCATCTTTGGCCAATAATAAGTCTGCGACAGGAGAGCAACCATCCTTTCTCTACCTGGATGTCCTGCCCACTACGGATCATGAGTCTCCGTCAATAAATATTTTCACAACTCTCTTCAACATGAAGATTTGACCTCCTTTTGCATATAATAGGTCTTGTTCTAACCAATACCTCCGTATTGTCCTTTTTTGTACAAGCTCAATCATTTTTTTATACGCCACATCTTCCCCAGCAGATTGATAAAGTCGACCCAGCATGTCCGAGTCCACCTGAAAAATAGTAAGAACAGTAGCAATTACCTCACGTCTGCTAAGTACATCCGCAACCTGATTATGGCTCCTCGGTTTATGCTCCCATACGAAATCATATTTAGCCAAGAATTCTTGTGACAATTTCTTCTATGTCCTAAAAAATATGTTAGCAATGTTGTTGGTCTTGACAACAAATTTCAACCCCAATAGATATACTCTCCAAATGCCAAGGCAGTGCACTACTATCGTCATCTCCTTCTCATGCATCGAGTAATTCTGTTCTGCATCATTTAGCTTTTGACTCTCGAAAACAATTGGATGCCCCTCTTGTATAAGCACTCCCCTAATGGCCCTATCTGAAGCATCAGTATGTACTGCGAATGGCTTCTTAAAATCAGGCAGCCCTAAAACTGGAGCTGATGTTACTATTGTCTTCAGTTTCTTAAAAGCTTGTTGGCAGTCAACTGTCTATTCCCATCTCCGATTCTTCTTGAGAAGATCCGAGAGAGGAGTTTTCTTCTTGCTATAACCCTCAATGAATCATTTATAGTAGTTTGTAAGCCCTAAAAATGACCTCAATTCCAAGATAGATTTTGGTGTTATCCATTCAACGATGACTTAAATCTTCTGTGGATCGATCTTCACCTGTCCTTCTCCAATCAAATGGCATAAGAACATAATTTCAGCTTTTGCAAACTCACACTTTTCCCTCTTCACATATAATTTATATTCTCTTATTCTACTCAAGACTTTAAAGAGATGAGTTACAAGATCTTTAATGCCTCTACTATAGATTATGATATCATATAAATAGACTACAAAGAAATTATCTAAGAAATCATATAGCACATCATTCATTAGATTACAAAATATTGTTAGAGCATTTGTTAGGCGGAATGACATAACTAGAAACTCGTATGAGCCATACCTCATTACATAAGTAGTTTTATGCTCATCATTGTTAGTAACCTGCACTTGCCAATACCCCGATCACAAGTTTAATTTCATGAAGATAGAGGCTTCATACAATCTTTCTATCAAATCTTGTATTAAAGGGGCATGATATTTGTTTTTGATTGTTACCTTGTTAAGTGCTCAGTAGTCTATACACATGCGAAGGCTTCCATCCGCCTTCTTTTAAAACAACACTGAAACACCATATGGAGCTTTAGAAGGGCAGATAAATCCCGAGTCAATCAGCTCTTCCAATTGTTTCCTCAATTCTTCCAATTCCATTAGCGAGATTTGGTAAGGGGCTTGAGATGGTGGCTTTGTCCCTGGCACCAACTCAATTCGATGGTCGATAATCCTTCTAGGTAGGAGTTTTTTTGGTAGTTGAGGCGACATCACATCCTCAAATTGTTGCAGCATGCTAGCAATTTTATTCAGCACCTCTCATAATAGTTTGCCTTCTCGTCAACTATTATTACAAGAAACACTTCCCTGCCTTTCCGCAATGCTTTATCAATAGCAATTGTCGAGACCAAGCTTTTCCCCCTTTTCACTACTTTCGCAGCTGCGACGTTACAACATGGGACAAAAAATAGGCATCCCTCACTCGTAATCTTGACCCTATTAAGATACGGCATCAAAACAATCTTGGCTTTCCATAAGAAATCAAGACAAAAAATAATATCATAATCATCAAGATTTACAACCAGCACATCCTGCTTACCTCACCATTAATCCAACATCATTGGCATATCATAAGACATCCCTGCAATTCTCTGTGCCTTTAAGTTTACTACCTTCATTGATGTATGACTATCACTCATCTGCAAGCCAAATTCCTTCACCAGCCGATCTACCATAAATGTGTGGGTTGCACCTGAATACAGCATAGCATTCACTACATTGCCATTTATCCCAATCTTCACATACATTAGATTATCCGTAGCCCTTGACTTCCCTTTTCATAGTACATCAGTCCTCGTCAAGTGTTGATCAAAAGGATGGGTTTCGGTAGTTGTATCCCCTGATTCAGCTACCAGGCAGTTTATCAGACGAATAAGATTGGCATGCATAACTACCCCTTCATCCTCATCGCTATCCCTAACCCGATTAGCATTTAACTTCTCCCTCTTTAGACATTCCCTCGCAAAGTGAGGACCATCACAAATGAAGAAAGTAAAGTTTAGTTTTGTACTCTTACCTTGTGCACCCATAAACTTAGCCTTGCTATTATCCACGATAGTGGCCTTCGATGTACCCCACCAAATTTCTTCTTCATCTTATTCTCCTTGTTTATTTCCTTAGACGTGAAGGAGGCTAATGTACAACCCTCTCTGGTAGTTGATTTGAAATCAACCAAATTGTCCACAACAGCAATAACAAAGGATAAATCCTTTACGTTCTATCGTCTTAGTTCTATTTGCGCCCAAGTTTGTAATCCAGACATAAACTTGAACAACCTGTCCTCCTCGGATATATTCTCGATGTAAAGAATTAAAGAATTGAAAGATTTGACATACTCAGAAACTAACCTTTCATGTTTAAGCCTTTTCAATTCCTCCTGCGTAATCCAAGATGTGTTCTTCGGAAGGAACTACTCCTTCAGCTTATGCTTAAACGATCCCATGTCTCAATCTTTGGATGTCCAGCACTTAAGTCATCTTTGGTTCTCGTCCTCCACTAAAGCTTCAGAAGGAACTGCTCCTTCATGTTTAAGCCTTTTCAATTCCTCCCGCGTAATCCAAGATGTGTTCTTCGGAAGGAATTGCTCCTTTAGCTCATGCTTGAGACAATCTCATGTCTTAATCTTTGGATGTCCAGCACTTAAGTCATCTTTAGTTCTCGTCATCCACTAAAGCTTCGCATCACCCATGAGATACATCATGGTAAGATCCACTTGTTCAACCATGTCAATCTTCGCAATGCTAAAGTATTGCACCATGTCCTATAAGAAATTCTCAAGTTTTTTAAAACTTCTTACCCCACCAAAACACTTTGGTTCAAGCACTTTAGGTTTAGAAGTACTTACCCTAATAGGAGCGTTTGTCACTACTCTTTTCAGAATAGCAATCGTCTTTTCGACAGTTGCCAATCGTTCACTCGATTCTACCACAAGAGAAATGTACAAGCTCTCAGCCTTTTCAGAGCTTTCCATAGCTTTCCTTAAGCGATCAATAATAGAACATTCTTCGCCTTCTTCATCCAACCTTATCAAAGTCTCAAGACGCGTCAACTATTCTCAAATAGCTTTCATGACTTCTACTACATGTTAGAATCAACCATGCTTTGATACCAATTGTCACGGAGTTAAAATCTTCACAACGAACTTCAACCCAATACAGCAGTCTAGTTCCAACTAGACTCGGCATTGCCTCCTCTTTTTGCTTGTGTTTCCTACGACTATGTGTTTTGCTCACCCAAAGAGGTTCTCACAATTGCCTCATCATAAACAAGAACAAACACAAGCAATCACACCGAATTGTACAAGAATACCTCTTAACCTTTATTTATCTCATCAGCAAAGGATTACATAATAAGAGTGTGTATGCTATGCATATAAATTGTATGCTCCATAGCAAAGGCTTTGACAGCCTGTTTATAGACAAAACATGTGAGTTGCAAGGTTCACCCATGATCCCTTATTTTTTAAGATATAGTGGGGCATATTCTCCCTATGATCCCATGATCTCAGCAGCTTGGAGAGCACCCTAGTTATGTTCCCATGTTTTGCCTCCACTATGCTGCCACTTCACCCATGTTCTAGTTGTCTACCTGGCAGTCCAGAATGCTAGTTTTTGTTGTGTCAGTCGCAGACTTAAAAGGTTCATTATCTAAGCCCTCATGTCCATGCTAAGTCCTAAGCTCAAAGACTCGCAGGGACCATCGCACGTTGCTTGCTGAATTCATCTCTATCTATGCAAGGCTGCCGTTGTCCATTGCTGCTAAATTCTAGGCAGTGTGCTTTTGTTGGCATGTCCCCACGCCTAGAGCTCTAAAAAAAGGCTTTTTATGGACAACTCATCCAATACTTTATTCTCATTCGTAAATAACATACAAGACCATGTTAATTAACAAAAAAAGGTCTTACATTATTAAGAGGAAGTAGTCTTAAAGTTTCTCTCCCATAAATATAAAATGTAAGAAATGATAATGTGTTGGTCAATCATAAACTACAGAGAAAACATAAGTGGTATGGCATAAACGTTTCTGAATTTTGCAAGTATGAAAATGGTGTAACCAATTTAGGGCCATAAAATTTCATAAGATCACTTAATATAATCATTTAAGACCAGTTTTTGTTTTTTAAAATATTTATGTTCTATCACAAACATAATGGGGAAAACACATACCTTCCTCACAAGTGTTTGCATAAGGCCGATCTTGGCAATAACAAGTGAATTTACTTGGGTTGGTATTGTATCCACATTGCCCAGTGCCAAAATGTTTATATTCATCACAAAAGAAATCATTTGCAGCTCACTGCAACTTAAATCCTCGTTCGAGAGCAAAATTCAAACTTTCTATGTCTGGCCTCATCTCCATAGACTGAAGAGCAGATCTAGATATCGGAAAAGTAGTTTTTATATTACACAACTTCAAGTTGCTACAAAGTAATATAAAATAATTTCTTGAAACATGTTTAAATTTTTAAGTTGAGAAAATTAACTTGGAATTATTGGACATCCACAGTAGTGTTATATTCTAATAGTTTTTGGAGCATAACTGAAAATTTTTGGATTTAAAAGGGAGTTGACAGGAAAGATAGAACACATATTTTTTGTGTAATCTGTTCTAGTAACCTTCAGAGTACGTGACATGTTATTGAGCTTAATCACTCGAAAAGCAAGTTCTGAAATTTTTATAAATGGGGCATCACCGCTGAATTAAGGTGAAATCCTGAATGACCATAGTATGCCAAGTGGTCCATTCCCCAAAAAAGATGGGTAATGCCCTGAATGATTCCACATTCAAATGAACTGCTTCAATTTAGATATCTCTCATCAGGTAGCTAGATTTATATTGGCATGCGATTTGTGATTATGGTGATTACGAGTATGATAAGTAAAGAGATCGTTTGGAGTGTTGAAAGAAAATCAGTGTGGTAGAAACTTATAGGCATCAATGCAATAAGAAAAACTAAATAATAAAAAGAAGTTTTGAGAAAGATCATTTTATAAAGTGTTTTTATCTTGTGAGTTTCTTTTTATATTTATTAAATATCTTTATAATTACAAGTTTATTTATAGATATTAAATCCTAATGAATTAAACCACTCAAATATAATTCTAATATGAATAGAAAATATAGTTTTGTTGATTTAACTATTTGATTGGTCGATCAATTCATTTAATTCAACTGGTTATTTATCGGTTTCCTAGTGGTCAACCTTTTTAACTATTTTTTTAGAAATCTAGTTTACTTTTAAGAAAGTTGATTTTTTTGTAACTTTCAATATAATTCTCATTTTGAAAAAAAATATTATATTTAAGTGGTTTTGTATTAATATATGTGACTTGACCTTGAGTCTTTATATGCTTAACTTTAACTTCCTTGTTTATAATATAATTTTATAAAAAATAAAATTTTATATCAATATGTTTAATTTTTGTTATGAAATATTTGATTCTTAATTAAAGTAATGATTGCTTAGTTATCTACATAAATTTTCATAGGTTTTTCTAGTGGTATTCATAACTTTTTCAATAATCTTCTTAGTTATATAAAATGATAAATATATGTTATAGTGCCTACATTTTTAGCTTAGATGAAGAACAAATACCGGTTTTATTAATTTTATCAGGCAAAATAAAGTTTTCAGTTTCCTGTTACAAATCACTTTCATCAGTAGGTAATTTGTTTACCTCATCTCCCTGCGATGACACGCCGAGCAGTGATGATACAGTGGAAGAGTGCTCTTGAGCGGACCGTGGAGGAGAAGAAAAGGAAGGTCTCGGTGGAATTTGCAAAGACTGAAGACTGCCTTCAAACATCTCTACCACCTTTGTCATTGACGGTCTACGTGATGGAATGGTTTGGATGCACCACAAACCCACTAAGATCATCTTTTCAACAATCTCTTCTTCCTCTTCCGTTGTACCTCTATGAAGTGTTGAAATCTTTCCTGGTTCAAGATACATATAAAACCAATCCGGGAAATACATCTCGTTGGTTTCCAACGATCCCATATCAAAGTCTTTACTTTGTCCGACCATTTCAAGAACCATCATTCCATAACTATACACATCAGACTTGTAAGTTACTCCTCCAAAAGATCTGCAGAATACTTCAGGTGCTATGTAACCAATAGTCTCTCGTGCATCTATCATTGAGATCTTACTCACTTTGCTTTGGCATAGCTTCGCGAGACCAAAATCTGAGATCTTTGGACAAAATTCTTCATCAAGAAGAATGTTGTGGGGCTTTATGTCAAAATGCACAATCCGAGTGTTACACCCTCTATGCAAGTACTCCAGACCTCTAGCAATACCAACTGCAATTTCATATAATTTTTTCCATTCTAAACGACAGTTTGTATGTGGGGATCCTTTATTAGATATGAAGCTATCTAAAGATCCATTGGGCATGAATTCATAAATCAAAGCTCTTTTATTCCTCTCATAGCAGAAACCCAAAAGGGTCACTACATTCACGTGGGAAGTTCTACTGATGCTTGCAACTTCATTCATGAACTCTTCTCCATCACCTTCAGACTCTTTTAGGACTTTTACAGCCACGAGACGACCGTCTGGTAACTTTCCTCTGTATACATAACCAAATCCCCCCTGACCTAGTATATTGACGAATGAGCTGGTCATTTTCTTGATATCTGAATATGAATAACGCTTGGGAGTAAGAGAATGATATTCCATCATAAATGTTTCAACACTGTCAACAAGCTGCGAATTCTTCGGCCTGAAGATCTTTGCTATGACGGCACCTTTTCTTCTAGTGAGACATATTGTAATTATGGAAAAAGTTATTATCGCAGCTGTGGCTGCTGATATGCCTGTAATTTAAGATGCATCATATCAATACCATCATCATCAAACGAGAAGGTTGGATTTCTTATGATAATATTTACCTACAGCAATATGTAGTTGCCCACGACTCCAAGAAGATTCTGTAACAGAACATCAAATAATGTTAATTATTAGATTGATTTATATGGCATATATATGACACAATATATTCATTTAGATGTTGAATTATTAATATGTAACCTTGTACATTCAAACTAAAACTACATTAAAGTTGATGATATTATATTTTAATGTCAAAATATATACTTCTCTTCCCCTCACTTCAATTATAATCAAGTTACATCCTTGAAAAATAAAAAGCTCATTGTTTTTTTATAAAGCATAAAGTTTAAATATTACATGAGATTGCAAGTTTTAATTTACATACAAAATGAGACATAAAGCTAAAAAAAAACCTATGCTACATGGATTTGGTTACTACTAGTTTATCCACCTGCACTTTCACTGTAGGTTAAATACAAATTTTTTGATACTTTAGAAACCATATTTAGATTGTTCAAAATTTTGTGGTATTGTCATTAAATTTAACACAATAATTTAAACTTAAAAAAAATTTCTATTCAATTATTATATTGATATTAGAATTCTTATATTGATATTTAGTTAATTTATCAATTCTGAAATCCAAGTTATAAATTTCATTAGATCGAATTAATTTTTATTTTATTATATAATAAAAAATATTAAAATTAATTTATTATTAATTCAATACTAAATAATAAAATTAATTAAAAAAACTAAAAAATATATATATACACACTAAAAACCCAACCCCGTATTAATGTTTAGTTAACATATCAAACTGTAATTAAGATTATAAACTCAACTTAATTAATTAATTTTTTTATTTTATTTTATGATAAAAACTATAAAAAATAATTTTTCATCAACATAATAATAAAGAATAATTTCAATTTAACTAATAAACTTGAAACAAAACTGAAAAAACATAGAAAAAAGAATAACTAGGAAAAAAAAACCCAACAGCACTGATAACAATGTCACTTCGACGTGGCTTGAGAATTTTTTTTATATTCAAAAACATTTTTATCCGATCCAAAGAAACTAATTAATAACTATTACAAGCCCTCCTCCAACTATCAAACTTGTATTTATAATTAACAACTACTGAGAAAATTGAAGATTAGTTTAAGAAATCCTTTGGACTAAAAAGTCTGTAAAATTGAATTATCTGTTTCAAAGTTACGGTCATGTAAGTAAAATGTATTCTGATATCCCACATGCGACAACTTGCGGGCAGAGTTTTGAATCCGGTCCAATGATTGACTCAACCCGGGTCATAAGTTTTATCTGGATTACTGAATCACTTGGGTCAGCACTATTTTTTATATAAATTAAAATGATATTATTTTAGTCAAAAAATAATTAAATTAATGGTTACAATTAAGTTTTTATCCGGATAAACCTGGTCACCTGAACTTGAAATGAAATATGATGGTGGCTATCTCAATTATTATTTGCTGAACACAAAATAATCCATGTCTTCATTAAGATTATATGCATACAAGCTACTATCCTAAGGAAACTTGAACATTAAGGGAAGCAGGTTCTCCGTTGCGAAAATCGCAGAGAAGCATTGCAAAAAACAGAGAAAACAGGGGAATCAAACTATGGTACTTGAATTGTTTAATTTTCCCTATCACTAAACATAACTACTAAAGAAATAAGTATCAATGGCTGCAAAAAAAAAAAAAAAACTCCCAGCGATTAACATAGAGTTAATTAACATCTCATGAACAAGATGTGGATCGTATTGGGTATTGAAACTATCACCACATAGAGCTCCAACTTTCTTAGGGTCATACTCAACACAAGACTGAAGAAAGAAGCCTAATTTCGAACATTGAACATCTTAACAAATAACCTCGAATTGCTACAATTAATTATTCATTAAGACTGCACAAAAACCAATGTACTTGTAAGCCTCTGAAAGTAATTCAAACATCGATTATTGAAATTATTGAAGCATTTGCTTGAAAACTATCATACTTATAAATCAACAAAGACGAAAATATGACAGGGTAAAACCTGACCTGACTCAAATATGCAGCAGAAGTTACAAATATCTGAAACATAGTTTTGTTCCTTGATTGCTTAGAAGAGGAGGATGGCTAGTTGCATTTCACTAAACAAGAAACATGGACCAGTTGAAGCAGGAACCTGGACAAATTTCAGTTCTCACTAAACGAGGAACCTGGACTGGTGGGAATGAAGAGTATTTAGCAATTCTACATTAACGGAGAGTAATTTCATTAGACAGTCTCTAGCTCCTGCTACTGCTAAAGCAACTCATACTAGGTTGGGAATACTTTAAGGATTCCTCCTTGTGACAAATTAAGGGCTACCTTTATTTTCATGTTATAAAGTCTTTGTCAGTTAATCGAAGTCTTCGTTTCCTTGATATACTGGAATTAAATGGTCAAGGAAGGTGTTCTCTTCAGGATCATGGAGCTTTGAACAATTCCTAATAGCCAGCTAGGTTCTTCCCTCTGCTCAAAGAAACGATTCACACTTGTTTCTTTTACCAGAGGTCCTCCTACATCACCTAGCCTGGAGGGCATATCTTAGATTTCAGCTATCTCTATCTATCCAACATGGCATCAAGAAAGAAAAGAGGACATACTTGTTGATTGACTAGGTGCCTGTGGTGATGCTGAGCATTCAAAATCTTGAGGTTGATCCGCACAGTAACAAGTGAATGCTGTAGTGGTCTTGTTGTACCCACACTGACCACCAGAAGATTCACATGTATCACATAATTAATCATTTGCACTCCACTCCAACTCAAAACCTTGATTAATAGCTTCAAGAAACTGTGATGCATTTAAACTGACTAGAATTGGCACAATAGCTGATTGACGGGCAGGAAATTTAACACTATTGTTGCATGTTGTCAGGTAGCTGATTAAGCTGGGATCCGTAATACCAAGGGCAGAGAAGTTGACTGTCATAAAGTTTCCTTCCATAACAGTGTCGTTAATGTTGCAAGTAAACTGAGATGATAACGCTGGTGCGCTTGGACTAGGGCAACCATAGTACAGTGTTACCTCAGCATGATCTGAAGTGTAATTCAAGAGTTTTGGATTCGAAGAGGTGTTGGAAAGGAGAGCAGGACATAGATTTTCTGTGTAATCTGATCTAGAAACGTTGAGAGTCCTCGACTGGTTATTGATGCCAAGGAGTTTGTAAGTCGATCGCATGATTGTGATCTCCGGATCTTGGTTGCTGCAACCGAGCTCAAACCCGGGATAGCCACAGTAATCAGGCCTATCGGATCCCGAGAAAGGATAACCAGCACCCTTAATATTTCCGCAATCAAATGACTTCATGCAGTTCAGATATCGCTCATCATCATCAGCAAACACAGGTGCTGAACCACAGACCAAGGCTATGGTTAGGAGTAGGATAAACCAAGACATGGCCTGAAGGAGTAGCAGTCGTGTTTGTGCAGAGGGATTGACAGGAAACGTTGTTCAAGTATTGAGTTAAGAGGAAAAAACACATAGGTGGGAGTTATTTACTCGATGAATACAATAGAATTGGTAGTACTTATTTGACCAATGGGGATTTTGTCAAAGACAAGCTTCCATTAGAATGATGAGAGTGGCATCAACGTAAATTCAGGTGTCCAAACAAGGAGGCAGATCATTTTGTCAGCAAGATAATGTGTATTTTGAATCCTGATAGTCAAATTCTGTGTTCTTGTTAAAATTTTCAAGTTTCATGTCTTAAATGTATGGCTTTATACCTATTGTGCTGCGGCCTACGTAAACATTGGTGGCTGAATACTAGAAAGATACTTTTGATTAGCAGGTAAAATTTTTTTTTTTTTTTGCAACCTAATTTCTGGGTGACTAAAGGTATATTTGGGATTACGGTACAATAAAATTTATTTATTTTTATTTAAAATTAATTTTTTAAAAATATTTTTAAATGAAGAAACATTTTAAAAATAATATTTCTTATATTTCCATACATCCTAAAAGAAATGTGTCCTAACAAGTATTAATATTAATGATGTTGAAGTTTCTATATGTTCTAAGTTTTTTTATTGTTAAACAATAATATAAATTATAATTTTTAATTAAAATGATTTTTAAATATATAATATTAGAATAATGATGGCGAGTTTAATAGCTAGGCAGACAATCGTGTGATGGAACTCACAAAATACCGAAAACAGGCTTCGTCAAGAATTTTAAGGGCTGACTATTGAGTTTGACTTAAATTGGAAGGTGATGTGGCCACTTGAAAAGGTGATGTGGCCACTTGAAACAGGCGATTGCATAGCACTTTTAGCAGACCCTTATACACCAAATCATTTCTTACTTTAATAGTCGCTGGGTCACGCGCTAAAAAGGGCGACTATTAAAGTAAGAAGAGATGTCTATTCCTGTTTTCATGCTAGCTACAACCCTTTATATATATGTGAGTTAGCTTGCTGGAATGCTGCCGTGAATTTATAAAATAAATATATTTAATATTATTATAATTAAAACTAGTGTTAAATAAATAATAAAAATTAAAGATATAATAAAGTAAATATTTTATGATAAAAAAAAGTTATGTTGGTGATTAAAAATTTAGAGACTAAATAAAATAATTTATAGCAATTTACAGTGTTTTATAAAGAAAAATATAGTAATTTCATCACATAATTTAGTTTTTCTGTTAATAAAAAGAAAAAAAATAATAATTATAAAACTAAATTCTCTACCAACTTAATATTAACAGAAACTCACAAAGATAATTTTAGAAGAAAAAATACCAAGGAAAAACATTGTAGCAATTGACAATGTTTTGTGAGGAAAACTATAGTGTTTTCTCCAATAAAATTAAAATAAAAAACTATTTTAAGAAATAATATAGCAATCCACAGTATTTTATAAGAAAAATCACAATTTTTTTCATATGATTTAATTTTATTGTAATTATAATTATTAATCAACTCAATATTAAAAAAAATCGATAAAGATAATTTTGAAAAAAATCATATGAGAAAACACTGCAACAATTCACAGTATTTGAAAGAAAAAAATTACAAATCTAAATTCTTAATCAGCTCAATATTAAAAAAATCAATAAAGATAATTTTAGAAAAAAATAACAAAACAAACAGCAAAAAAGAGGAAAAAAATCATGTTGGAAACACTGTAGCAATTCACAGTGTTTTGTGATAAAAGTTACAGTGCTTCCCCACATGATTTAGCCATATTTGTAATGACTGCTAATTATAATTTTCAAACAACTCAATATTAAAAAAATAAAATTAATAAAGATAATTTAAAAAAAATTATAAGAAAAAAAATCATGCGAAGACACCTTAACAATTCATAATGTTTTGTGAGGAAAGCTACAGTGCTTTCCCTGCATGATTAAACTTTATTACAAAGTTAAATTCTAACCAACTCAATATTAAAAAAAAATCAACGAAAATAATTTTAAAAAAAAATATTACAAAAAAATAACAAAAGAAACTGAAAAAAACCATCTAGGAAAAAACTGTATTAATCCATAGTGTTTTGTGAGGAAAAACTTGTATTTACTTGTAATTGTAATTTTTAACCAGTTAAATATTTAAAAAATAACATAACAAAAACAGAAAAAAATCATATGGAAAAAAATATTGCAGCAATCCACAGTAATTTTCAAGAAAAGTTACAGTACTTTCCTCATATATTGTAACTGTAATTTTTTATTTTATTTTTTAATTTAATATTAAAAAATAAAATAAAAAAGATAATTTTAAAGAAAATCATAAAAAACTCAGGCGGAGAAATACTGTAGCAATCAATAATATTTTTTTAAAAAATTACAAAATTAAATTCTCAATCAGCTCAATATTAAAAAAAATTAAAAATATAATTTAAAAAATTAAAAAAAATAAAATAGAAAAACTATGTAGTAAAACACTGAAGTTTTTTAAAAAAATTACAAAGTAAAGTTTTTAACCAGGTCAATATTTAAAAAGTAAAATCAACAAAAATAATTTAAAAAATAAATACAAAAGAAAGAGAAAAAATAAAAAAGTTGAAACAAAAGGGAAAGTAATTTTAAAAAAAATATATAAAAAATAAAAGAAGAAAAAAAATATACAGTGAATTATTATTGTAATCCTCAATATATTGTGTGTGGGGAAAAATGATTGTCGTATCATTTAGATCATTTAGAGTATATATATATATATTTGATTTTTTTTAAGCATGGGGTGTTCTTTTTAAAATGAGGTTTTTAAGGCAAAATATTTATTTATCAGAGATTTATTAAGTTTTTTTATTACGTTTAAACTTTTAATGATTGTAAATCGTCACGTTAAATATTTAATAATCAAATTTCATGATATATCTTTAGATTATTTAGTTTTTAAGATCTTAATTGTTGCTCCAAGTGTGAATTTATTAAACGAAAATCCATATAAGAAAAGGTCATAAACACATCACTATTTTCACATTATAAAAATATAAAATGTAAATAAAATTTATTGTAAATACGAGTTTGTAACTACTGTAACCTTATTTTGATATCCTCCTGGCTGATTAAGTTTATATGGTATGATGACGAATCAAGGAAAAAGAATTTTGTGATGATACGGTGCTCTGTGTTTAAATTCCTGGAGTAAACGTGTGAATTATTTAAAATTAATTTCATAGATGCCACCTAAAGTCAAATCAGACGAAAACAGGAGGTGGGAATTTGAAGTTTCAGTTGATAAATTATTCCAGGAAACAGAACAAAGAAGAAAATGTCATCTGCAGAAAGACCAAGTCTCTGATTTGGACTCCATTTCTGCATCACCTTGTGAATTTCCTGGTGTTATCCTACCTTATTTTCCCCCTATTTTAATTATCAAATGTTCCCTGTAATTTCTATTATGTTGATTAGATTTGCTAATTCCAATCGAATAACTAATTTTTTCTTCGGGGTTTAGGTTGTTTGTCAGATGAGATCCTTCCTAAATCACCATCTCATCTCCCCTGAATATCCATGCAAGCTAAGGTAAAAATCTGCCAGAGAGTCTCGGACATTTCTTTTACAAATCCTCTGTTATTGTATGTTTTTGTCTGGTACTTTGCCGGTCCAGCCGTCAAGGAATATGAACAGCTCCACGAGGCAACAATCACATGCATGTTAAAAATGGAAGAATTCATGGTTATAATTTTCGCTCGGCCGTCAATTTTATAATTCACTGACCTGAGGCTTAACCTAGACCAAGTTGATAGGAGAACTCAGTTTTTTTAAAGTGGTGTTATTTTTTATTTTTTTTAAAAAAACCATAATTTCCTTTAAAGGTTATTTAAAAAAAAAACTTAGATAAACTTGAGTAAATTTATTTGACCCATAATTTTAATCTTGAAAAGATTAATCTTCAAATCAAGCTTTATAAATTTATTTTAATTCAAAAAGGGATATTTTGGGGAAAAAAAAGTTAAATAGATGACAACTCAACTCTTAATTAACAAACACTTGGTAAAAGATTAAAATATCATGGAAATGAAAACATAGGGATATAATATTGTCTTTTTTTAATCAGATGGACTACCTAATTATTTTTCTAATAAAACGAGGACTGAATAATAATTTAGGCAATTATTAAAGCAGAAAAGTTAAATTCTTAGCTATGATCAATTAGTTCACAAAAATCCCATAATTTTCACTATCAGTTCAAAAATTCTGCTGAGCATGCCATCAAGATTTCCTACGGCTAGTTGTATGATAAGACGCCATGGGCATCAATTTAACTATGGTGTGACCGTTTCCTAACCAGAAAGCTGTCCCTTGTTCCCATGGTCTAGTTCTGCAGTTTGAGCCTCCCTAACAGTCTGACTATTCAAGTGGGTTCTAAGAGATCATCATCATCATCATCATCATATTGATGTTTACTTCTGTCCAAGTCTATTTAAAATAAAATTAAAATAACAAAACAGGAACGGAACTAAGGTGTGTGAAGCAACAAGTGACTGGAGTTCATCATAAACAGATTCGAGGAGAAGTTGAGGTACATACCTGAAGAGGTGGAGCATTCCCAACACGCCTCCCCATCAACCTTCCATCTTACCTCGAATCCTTTTTTCAAGTGTTCTTCCCAAGGTCGCATATTCCCGATTGGTGGCCAATCCAAAGTTTGCGTATCCCATAATGGTAGCAAATCTGTAGAAACTGGCACTAAGACACTACGATAGCATTCGCCAGGACCAGTATCTCCTTCTTGGATATAAGCACGTCGATCATTAACCTCATTTATGTTGCAAGTGAAAGGTATTCTACCAGGTATGGTTGTCTCATCCTTGCAACCATAAATGAATGTAAGATTTTTGTAACCCTCATCAGACTCAAAAACCTTAGGATTGAACGTGCTGTTCATAAAATGAGGTGTACACAATCCAACAAAGTAGTCCTCTCTTGCAATCCTGAGAATTCCATCAGCCTGATTGATTTTTAAAACACGATATGCAACCTGATTGATATTCATCTTGGTGATATTACTCTCACACCTGAGCTCCAAATCAGGAACGCCACAGGCGCGTGATCTGTCAGTTCCCCAGAATGGAATATCCACGAAAATATCCCCGCATACAAACTTTTGACTACAGGCAGTGAGCGGGTCATCGTTGCTTGAGGATGAAGGGACTTGAATGAAGAGCAACAATACAAGAACAAAATTTGAAAGAAAAGAAAAGGCCGAGGAATGCATTCTGGCAAGAAGTAGCAGCATATAGGAGAAATGGAATCGTGTATTAGCAAAATGGGCTTGGTTGCTTCAGGGATAGTTTCGAGTATAAAGAGATGAGTCTTGACGTGCTACTTATCAATTTCAGGTAAATAAATACGTCAGAAAGGGATAGATGGGAACGCAATACTTGGATTTAAATGCTTGGTGGACTAAAAGTATTAAATTTATTTTTATATTGGGAAGGGCTACCACATTAATTTCTTTCTACGAGGCCTCTATTTGCAAAATGAAATCTTGTAGGCTACCACATCACTGTCTTGGTCTTGGGGACTAAAAGAAGAGAACAGAATCGGTCAAATATATTTAAAGGACACGCAAAAAAATCCAGGCATAGTTTGGAAAAGTATTTATGTGGTTGATGATAATAACATGAAATCGGATCTTTCTCGTATACCTAATAACAAAAATTAAGATAAAATGATGGGGTTGTCCAATTGTTCAAACCATGGTTCAACAAACTTGATTCCCAAAAAGGAAAATGAAATATTTGTATTAAATTCAGTCTAAATATGTAGTAATAAATAAAAAATGAAAGATTTTATCTGTGGTTCGAGACGACCCTTTGCGTTGGTTTAATTCCAGATATGGTTATGGATATAACATATCATCAGTACAAACCAACTTGTGCTCCCAATTCTGTAACGTTTTTTCTTTTTTTAAAGAAAAAAAGACAGCTTTGCCAAAACCATATTGGACCTATCACAATAGAAATAGATCATGGACGGCCCTATTCTCATTAATTAGATGGAATCATTTTTTTTTAATTTAATTAACATATGAGTGATTTTAAATTGATGTAGTCACAGATCAATAAATATTTTTATATTTAATTAATATTTAATTTTATGAATATTTAATTTTATTATTATATAACAATATTTTTTAAAAAAAAATTATTAAATTTAATAGAATTATAATTTAAATTACAAGTTTAGTAACTACAATCATGAAATTTAGATTGATATAATATATCAATATCTTAATATTAAAAAAATATATTATCTTGATTTGTTTTTTTAAATTCAAATCATATTCTTTACTTAAAAAAACCTGTAAACTTGAATTATTTGTTTTAAATCTATGGTCATGTCAGTAAATTGTACTATATTATAAAATTGGACTGTGATATCCCACATGCTACAACTTGCAGTGATGGAACAGCAAATTGGACTGCTCTGAGAAATAAAAACGCATTCAATATATAGATGGACCTATCACAATAGGAATAGATCATGGACGGCCCTATTCTCATTAATTAGATGGAATTATATATATATATATATATATATATATAAAACGCACATCGAGCATGGACTGGGATGGTAAACGAAGAAATAGATGTATAGAAATTAAATTAAATTAAATTAAATAGAAGGTTGAAACCGATTGCGTGACACGGGGTTTCAGGGATTGAATTTGAGACGAGGCCTCACTTGACTTTGCTAATGGAAGGAATTTTATTATATCTGTTTTTTTTTATAAAATACTATTTATTTGAATAGTATTTATTTTTTATTTTTTATTAATTTTTATTTTTTAATATTAAATTAATTTAAAAAATAGATTTTATAATTTATTTATCATGATTTGGAATATATGTTTAGTAGATTGACTCGAGTTATTTTTTTTTTAATTTTAATTTTATTCTTTGACATTAAGTTTACTGAGAATCAAGTTTCATAATTTTTTTAATTTATTTTTTATAAGTTATTATATTCTTATGACATGAAGTGTAGGTTTGATGAGTTAACTCGATTGACTCAAATTTTTTTAATTGATTTTTTTTTATCAATTTCATTCTTCAATATTAGATTAGTTGAGAATTAAGCATTATGATTTCTTTTGATTTATATTTTATGAGGTTATTTTCATCTTATGACTAGAATCACGGATTTGAGAGGCAAACTCAGACTGACTTGAGTAATTTTTTATGTTTTTTAATTTATTTAAAAACAAAATTAATCTTTCAATACTGAATTAATTGAGAATTAAGTTTTATAATTTATTCTAATTTATTTTTTATCTAGTTATGTCAGTTTCATGATCCTGATCATGAGTTTGACAAGTTAACATGAATTGAATTAGGTAATTGTTTTGATTTTTTTTTAACTTTATTATTTAACATTCATTTTATTAAAAATTAAGTTTTATAATTTATTTTAATTTATTTTTTATAAGGTAATTAAGATCTTATAATATGACAAGAGAATTGGTTGATTGATCCAAATCAGTTTAATATATTGTCATCTCAGTGTATATATATATATAAATCATATTTTAAATATTTATTTTGAGTTAAATTATATTTTACTAGTCATTTAAATTATTTTTATACTCATTAAGTTGATCAAGTTATATCAAATTAATTTTTTTATAATTTATTTTTCATATTAACAATATTTTAATATTTTTTTATATTAAAAAAAA